TGATTGTCAAAGAAAAAAATATTTTTTTAAGAGGACCTCTCCTGTGTACACACCCATGTTGCTACTGGTACTTGATGGGATAAGATGAAAAGCCAAGATTTTTAAACATATCAGTTTTATTAGCAGCTAAAATAATTCTTCCATTGCTTGATTTCTTGATTCTGGCTCTTTAGCAAACTCCCTCTCCTTTTACGTGTACTTTCTACAAGGTTTTGATTAGTCTTTGCAGAGAATATAATTATATTCTATAATTGGTGTTTTTTAGCTTTCTTGGAAGAGAGAACAGATTCTGAAGGGCTTTATTTTTCTTTTGAAAAGTAGAATGTCAACTAGGTTCTTCAGATGACTCTTACAATGCTTCAGAAAAAAAGGGAAAAAAAAAACAGTGATTTTTAGAAATTGTACTTGAAACAAGCGAGAGTTTAATCTCTTAACTAGTCCTGAAATCAGAATCTTCCCCCTACTTTTAAGTAGTTGACTATATACCATTTCAGGTGTATTCTTTAGTTTCAGGCCCAAAGAAGGGCCAAAACTTACTTTTGGTGGTTACTGTGCTTGTTGAAACAGAAAACTGAACAGTACTAGAATTTTTGAGAATGTGCACTTAGAAAGCTCTAACCTTTTCTTCAAGAAGAGCCACTGGGATACTTTCTAAACTCTCTTCTCAGCCAAGTGATGTCTATTGTTTCTTTCAAAACCCAATACAAAAACTGCATCCAAACACCTTTACTTGGAAGATCTCACATAACTCTTACTTTTCTGTATTTTCCTAAGTTTTTCCACATCATGTCATACTAATTGATGTGTTGCTTGGTATTATAAATATTCAGTGTGTATGTGGTCCATGTAAATAAGAGGCTTTTCCATAATTCTCTGCCTTTTTTTTCCCCTCTGGGTCCCATCTTATCAGTATTGGTACCATTCTCTGGACATGTTAGGCCATTTAAATTGCCATGTAGTCAAAAGAAGTTAGCTACTCTTTCTTTTCCTTCATAGAAGTCATGACAGTCTCAAAGCATAGATTGATTGATTGATTGGTTGGTTGGTTGATTTCTGTATTTCAATGTAATCTTAGGCCAGCTGTCTAAACTGAAAATCTGTAACTTGAAATTTATTAGCTCCATAAAATTTTAATATTAATTGGTTTTCCACCATTCACTTTTTTGAAACATAATGGAAATCACTGAATTTTTATTTATTTAGAATTTTATTTTAAAAAGAAGATAATCAATTTTAGTTTTATGGATTCTTTTATTAGAGATAATATGAAGTAATAAATACTGCAAATGCTATACAAATGGAAACACTGCTGCTATTTTTATAACTTACTAATTTTTCAGATTGTTCTAGAATGTCCATGTTCTTTTGTTTTACTTTAAGTTTACTATACTTCCTATATTTAGGAAGTATAACACATAGACACATAGACATCCTGTCACTTATCTCTGTCTCTATAAACCTCACACTAGAGAATGGTCTTTTGCTCAGGTCCAATTAAATGAAAAATCAATTCCACATCACATTAAAACATGCAGAGCCCAATCTATTACTACTAGGATAACTTTACATTTTAAGTTCATCCAGATTTCTTGTAGCAGTGAGGTCCTTCATGCTGCCAGCACCCTTTCTGCTTTCTGAATTAGTAATTAACTGCCATGAGTTGTACACATGTGCAGGCATCTGAAGTCTTTTTTCAGGTACCTTATGTTCTACAGTCTGTGGCCTCCATGATTGATACGTTTTGTGCTTTGTTAATGACTAAGCCAAGATAAATAGATGTGCTTGGGCGGCAAGCAGCTGAAAATATTTGACAGTTTTGACTCCTTTCTTCACTGCATTTGCATGTTTGTTCCCTTATTGTAGATCACAGTGAGATGCTTCTTAGCACGTCCCATTGGAGGAGACAGGCAGAAACTGATAACTAGAACATCTGTGCAGTGTGCCCTTCGCACAGCATGACCAGAAGTCCCCCCTCATTTGTGTGGTCACCAGGATAAGGCATGGGCACTTAACAATATTTTTCTTCCCTTGCATTATTCTTATAGTGTGGTCTTCGTGTTAATTGTTTTTCACCTTGTTCTTAGCATTCAACAGACATTTAGTGAGTGCCTACCTACAATGGCCAGATACCATTCCAGGGAAGGTTATTGTATCTTTGAGAGAACATGATATTACCTTACATTTTATATTTTCTCTGTCCTGCTTTAACAGTAGGGGATCCCCAAACTTGTGGCTGGGAGCTAATTTGCTCCCCCTTAGAAGCTTCACAGATGGGAAGCAGTAGATGCCACTTGCCAATCCCAGCTAGTGAAGGTGAGGAGCACGCCACAGACCAGAGTTGCCTCCTCGCCCTCTGTAGCTCAGGAAGGGAGGGATCCCCTTTGCCATTTTTCTAGTTTGCTCCTGTCTTGTGGTACTGGCCTCCTTTCCTTTTGAGCATCAGGCAACACAAAGGGGGATGAGACCCCATTTGGGGTCACACTGACGCCTAAAGGATGCACAATGCTTTCTAACCATACTGTTTGCATTATTGTGAATGCTTCTTAGTAAACTAAGAGTTTTTTAGCTTCCCCTTCTGGCCATTCTCTTTCTTTTCTTCATTTTTTTCCTTTCCTCCCAATATATGGGCTGTGCTGACTTTAGATTCTGCTAGAATTAAGTGGCTGTCAATCAGCATGTGTGACAGGCAGGCATTTTCAGTCTGTCTTAGAGAGGATCCACCTCAGTGTCGTTTACTAATTTATGTTGCTCAGACTTATGATCACAATGGAAGGGAAGGTGGAAACCTGAAAATCCTCCTGTCCTTCTGGAAGTACTGTTCTGAAAGAGGGTGGAGGAAGTATCTGGGAGTAAAGAATTACACAAGCTTCTGGGCTTGATCCATGGCCAGCTCTCATTTAAGAGTAAAAGAAAAAAGTGAATGATTTGCATGGTGAATGTATGAAATGATCAGTGTATGTATCTACCACAAGCCTGTTTGGCCTCTGTGGAGGGGTGGAGTGAAATGACTTTTTTTTACAGTATAATGTTTTTTTTCCATATTCTTTCCCTTTAAATCACTGCTCTAATCCCCGTCTGAGTTGGAGGAGCTAGAGAACTCTAGACAACTGCCTCAATACTTCCAGTAGAACAGAGCACCCAGAGTTCAGGAAAACAAGGAGAGAGGCAGAAGGGGGGCAATTGAGGATGACAAAGCGAAACTTGAAAGAGGAAGACTCTGCTGCTTCACTTTCTTCTTCTAGTAGCTGATCCTCAATTTTTATCCTTGGTATATTAAAGCCTATGTGATCTCATGTGAAGTGTTGCTACCTGGTTGAGCAATGGTAAAACACATCTTCTTCAAGACCCAAAGGAGCCTTTGTTAGGAGATGTAATGATTGACTCAAAACTAATATATATATATATTAGTTTTATATGTGTGTGTGTGTGTGTGTGTGTGTGTGTGTACACAGGAACTAAGTAAGGAAAAAAAATTTTTTTCTGGCTCTCATAATGGCAGGAGACAGGAAGGGGAATTGTACCATGGTGTCTTCATTTCAGACAACAGATTTTACTCTGAGCCAGTTTCAACTCAGAGGGGTTTGTTGAGAGCTTATAGTTTCCTCAATGGAGCTACAGAAACAGGATTTCAGCTGAAGTTCCAGGAACAAAACCCAGACCACGGTATACAGCTGGTCCAGTGAGGTTTGCTGCCACCTCTGCCACTATCTGCACTTGCCAAGCAGGTGCTCTTTACCCATCTTACTCTTACCATGTCCTATTTCCATATCTGCCTGCTGTAGGTGTGTCAGATGATGAAGCCCCATCCTGAGTCTGCACCCTAGTAGCAAATGAAGTTGAATAATGTAGTTTGTGTGGATTCTTTATTGGCAGTGGGGTTCACAATGTGGGGGAGCATCAAAACATGGAGTCGTGACAGGGTTTGGGGCAGCCACAAATTTAGATATTCCTTACAAGACTACCTTAGGAAGTACAGCACAGATATGCCTAATGACAGGAGTTAATAGTAAAATTTTAGTGATCAACTGCCAAATTTTCGAATAATTCTAGAAGATATATTATTTTATGACTTTATCTGCTGAGGGACCTACGGTTGTCTCCACCACTATTCTACATGTTTGTCCTTTTATTCTCTTAGTTTGGCTGTAGTTCTAGTTTATGATGTGCTCCCGCACACACAGTTATCATCCATGATGTGGTGGCAAGATTCTGAGATTAGGCTACCAAGAGAGGAGGGGTTAAAAAACAGTTCACCTAAGTCTTCATGAAGCCTTATTCTTTTGCAAAGTTTGCTGAGATTTCTGGATTTTGTATTTTTACTTGATATTGAAGACTTTTTAAACTATAAGTCCTTGTGAAGAAGAAACAGGTTTTTAATAAAACTCAAATTTAGTATGATTTTTGTACAGCATGAATTTACATAAACATTTTCATAGATTTTTATAGGGAACTCTATGAAGTTTTTTTTTTTTTTCAAACTGTCCATTTTTTTAAAGAAAACAAGAACATAGTAGTTTAGTAAATAAATGTCTAATTTTCTGGAAAGGAAGCAAAATTCACATCCTCTTCAATGTGTAGAAGTCCCAAGTGCATCAGTGAAATTGTAATTCTCCTCACACTAAAATCGTTGTTACCATGTTAAGGTTTTTACTAACTGGATCCTAAATGAAAAAAATTAAAAATGTGGTATATGTAAACAAGCCTCTGAGGTGGTAGTTTTGAAACTTGTTAACACTTACTGGAAAGGAATTTCACTTTTTGATGTATCCTGTCTATTAAAGCTGTTTCCAAACTGGAGCATGAATATTTGTACACATGGTCATGGAAAATAACCAGGAACCTTAATTAAAGAGTTTTTCTCCAGTTCCTTGGCAACAAAAGATGAGTGAAAAACTTCTCCTTTTTATTTTTTATTTTTTTTTGACCTGAGTAAATAGTTCCTTTAAACATTTTTCTATACTGGGTATCATCTTTTTATTTTATTTTTTATCATTCTACAGGGGGTTAAATACCTGTGCATTCCAGCAGCGGACTCACCATCTCAAAACCTGTAAGTTGTTTGGTTTTTTTTTGTTACTATAAATGAATAAATTACTATTCATTTATATTATTATATTATAAATGAATAAAGGACTATAAAGTTAAAAAAGTAAAGGAGAGTGAAGCCATTGGAGCCAATGGGACTCTTGCTGCCATGCACAGCTGCTGCCTTACAGGAGAGACCGTGAGGCCCACTGACGTTTGTGCTGCCAAGGTGGGCAGAACCGTAGCTGGAAGAATGCTTCTTGCTTGCAGGCCCTTTTGCTCTACACTAACTGATGGGATGTCTGTAAGAAGGGTCTAATTTTTAGAAAGAATACCTCAAACAAAACCTTTGGCATGATCATCCTTTTTCTAGAAGCAAACTCTTAAAGAAGCTGTTAGGTTTTGTCCAAAGCAGCACTGTCCAATAGAAATAGAATATGAGCAACAAATGCAGGTCATACATGTAATTTTAAATTTTCTAGGAGGCACATTTGAAAAAGTAAAAAGGAGCTACATGGCAATAATTTTAGTAATATGTTTTGTTTAACCCCATATATCCAAAATACTATCATTTCAACCGTGTGCTCAATTTTTTTTTAAATGAGATATCTTACATCCCTTTTCTCATGCTCAGTCTTCAGAATCAGATTGGGTATTTTCACTCTGAGAGCACACCTCAGTTTGGATCAGCTTTATTTCAAGTACTCAACAGCCACATGTGGCCAGGGACCACTCTGTGGAACAGCATACTTCTAAAGTCTGTCTGAGTTGGAGTGACTAGATCTTTCTGGTTTAGGAAGGTCCATTCCTCTATTTCTTCACAGCTGAATATATCTGTGACATCATTGTGTTCCTATAAAGAAAAGTTTGTAATTGCCATCTTTCCTAGGTCCCAGCAACTATATGGAGACCCATAGGATTACACTTTGTTAGAACGGGGGACAAGTCTCTGGAGAACCACAGCAGTTATGGCTCTAACACTCACACTCCGGTTTCCAGAAATGACCCAGAAAGATCATGACATAGAGTAGATGAAAGTATACTGAAGCATGGATTTGAACCTTACAGGCTGAGAGGCTGGGGGCAGAAGTAATGTACTTAGCCATTCAGCATACTCACAGACCCCAAGCTCTGCTTCTGAGACTGACCTTGTGCTGCTCTTGGAAGCCAGATACAGTGATCCTCCTACAACCGCATATTACTGCTTCTCATCAGGGAAGTTATAAGCTATGAAGGTGTTTGTAAATTTGGGAGTCCATAGGCTTGTCAGAATTCATCCTTCATGATCCTCAAGTTCTACTGCCTACAAATCCTACATATCAGAAGCACAGACCACATACTCTTATAAGGACTATCCCAAGTTCCAGCCTCTCTGAAAGCTGACGAATTGGAACACTGATTTTTCACTGCTGCAGGGAAGAGAAATCATAGGTTATGCAGTAATTTTGTAGGATCTACCTGTTTGTCAAAAAAGAAAATGGGGCTAGAGTCAGACAGATAGATGTGGGGAAGGATGAGGGGGATAGATCAGGAGACAGGAGGTATAGAGTTAGACCAGGAAAGGACAAGAGCAGGTTGGAAGTGGAGGCAAATATGTGCTACCCAGCGCTTGTGTTTTCACAGTGACTCTGTATTTCACAGGAAAAGTCAATCTTTATGATTGCTGGAGGAAGGATTTTACTAAGATCACTAGGAAAACAATAGTTAGGTCTGGAAGGAGGGGAAGAAGCTTTAGAGAACTTCCTTGGTTACTAGTTGTGTCAAGAAACAGAAGTGGTTGGGAGGGCATGGTGTGTATGGAAGGAAGTGAGTATCTGCCCTTCTCTGAAGGCCACAGCACTCTTCTGCCAGTGTTTTGATGGCTATTTTTAGAATGGTTGTTTTGCTCTTATCTCAAACTGAGATTTTTAACATACTGTTGAATTTGTTAATACCTGATTGGTGATTTGACTCTTTGGAAGAATTAAGTTGTAACACATTCTGGGCATTTTTTGTCAAGGCAGATGACAACCTACCTGTGTTTGAGTTGTCCCCAGGACTTGTCAGCCTGAAAGGAGCCACATGCTGTGCTTGCCAGGGCAGGGACCCTGACTTACCAAGTGAGGATTGAGTATTGAGTGTTTCTACTCTATGAGACAAGGGAGCATAGACCTAGAATTAGGTATCTCCCATTTAAAACCAGTTTCATCTATTTTGGGCAAGTCATTTTAACTCACCTAAACCTCAATTTAATTTTTTCAGCTGAAAAAGGCCTGCATTCAGGATTTTTGGAGATGGGATTTTATATGTGAAAGTGTTTTCTATGAACTCTAAGCACTTTTGAAAATTAGTGTATTAATGTATCTGGAGAGTTACAGAAAAGATAGTTGAAAATAAGTTTTGGTGCTCAGCAGTCCTGCTTCATTTACTTAGAAGGTATGCCGCTGTGGAAGAACCAGATGCCAGAAGATGCAGCAGCCACTTCTCTGAGTTCCTGTGTGTTAAGGATCATTTCAGATCTGGCAAAATCAGCCCAACCCAGTCACTTTGGGACCAGAGGATTAATCCATGAGATTTGAATTAGTTCTCATCTGTCTCAAATATGTACAGAGATGTTAAAATGTGTGGTTTGCCTTTTTAACCCTTTCCTTGTGTCTGGATGAAAGTGCAGTGTGGGATCCAGTTTCCAAAAGGGGTTACTGAAGCCTCTGTGCTGGGGCTGACAGCAGAACTGTGCAGAAAATGCACCACTGCTGCTCTTTGGAGTAAAGACTTAGAAGAGTACAATCTCTCTTTCAGCTGGAAAGGGAAGAAGGACCACAGTTCATCAAAGGCAGGAAAACTAGCTCTCTGCTGTGGGAGTTATGCTCACAGGCACCTGGGGTGATTCTTTGAGGAAACTTTTATTTTTAAATCCTTAGTTCTAGCAAAGCTTATGCATACGTAAGACTTCGGGCATATAAATGTCCATGATTATATAAATATTTCCTGCTCTCCCAAAGTTAAATGGAGATTGTGAAGTAAAGTTTGAATTTAGAGTGTGCTCCCTATGTTGACACAATCTATGCAATAGCTTGAGTTTCTCTTTACCTGTTACAAACATTTCATACCATGCCTTCTAACTGTGAGCATGCTTTCAGAATGTAATCAGATAATTAATTTAATGCTGTCAGGCAGAACACTAGACTCTGTTTATGTGACCTGCCTCATTTCATCTAGCCTGTAAATATTAGGAACATGTGAAAGCTGAGATGAACCTTCATTTCTGTATCAATCAGTGTGGGTGCTCCAGAGACAAATGGCCTTAGTGCTGTTAACAAAAGTGAGAGGAATTATGTCCATCACTTGGAAAATGTACTCTGTGTAACCAGTTAGCACTAGCAGTTCTTTAGTCTGATGTGAGTGCCTATATTTAATGACAAAATAAATTCTAGAAAATTATATTGCTTATTGTTTTAAACTTACAGATTTTTAAAATTATTTCCAACTTTGTATATAATTTAAGATTTTATACCCTAAATCTTTACCCACAAATATTATAACAACAGGAATTCTTCTTGCTAATTATGTTTAGTGAGAGGTTAGTGACCCTTTGAGACTAACTGCTTTCACTTGGCAGTCAGTTGCTGCAAACTAACTGCCCAGAAAGGTCAATTTTCTGCATTGACCTTAATACTCACAAACTCCCCATCTGATCTTGCTGGAACTTAATATGCAGAAACCTGGTTTGAGATAACATTAACACATTAAAATTTTAGCTCAGTTCCCCCAACTACCTTGCCTTGCAAAGTGAAGAAAGGAAACATGAAAGTTCAAGTTCTCATCATTGTAATAACCCCCCCAGATGCAGGCTGCACGTTTTGCATGATTTGTCACAGTTAGAGACAGCCTAGAGTTTGTATCAAATGCATGCACTGCATGTTCTCCCAGTGGCCATTGTAAGTGGGTTGGGTGAATTAAGGCTTTGGAAATACTTGTTTTAGCTTTCTCTCTGTGCTTTCTTAGGCAAGTTATTTTCATCTTACTTCTCTCCCTGTAAAATACCTATCTCACACAATTTTTATAGTATTAGATGAGATAAGTAAAAGTGTTTTTATGAACACTAAGCATCTCCAAAAATAAGATTATATTTTCTGCATATTCAAGTAAAGAGTATTAACGTACTTTGAGAGTCAATCATTAGCTGTATCATAGCTTATTTTATTTGTTCCTTTTTAGACACTTTTTTATTTTTACATTTTATTACTGTTATTGTTTATTTTTTATTATATTTTTTCATTACCATTTATGCCCCTTTTACCCTCTTCCACTTTCACCTAATCCCCTCCCCCCTATAATCACCAACCACACTGTTGTCCATGTCCATGAGTTCTTTCTTATGTTAATGTTTATTAAGTTGGTATTTTGTATTTAGACATCATTAAAGGAATAATTATTGTTTCTTTATCTCCTCTTGTCAAGTCCAGGGAAGTTTTGTCTATGCTGTGGAGTCGGTACCATTGCATCATTACAATAAAGTCTTTGTGACATTCAGTGGTTTGAGAATCAAGCAGATCTCTAAATTTCTTGAGGTTTTTGTGAGGGGAAGAGGCATTAGCAATAGAAAGATTTAAAATATCAATAAAATTGTTGTACCTTATTCTACCTTTCTATCTTTTTGTATTTTTTTTTAGTTTAGCTGATATCTTCTATATGCACTTACTTACATTTTTCTTTATTTTCGTTATTTAGAAAGCAGTTTTTGCAAGATTAGAACTAGGTGGCCTTGGGTGGCCCTTCCAGACAGATGCACACATGTGTGCATACACACATGAGAACATACACACACATGCTTGCACACAAGTCCTAAGGACTTTGTAGTCTGTCAAAATGAGAAATATGTGGAAAATGTGTATTGTGTTTTTCATAAGACTTACCTTATTTAACTTGAACTATTTTTTGGTCTTAGACCATGTCCTCCTAGATTCTTTAGTGTTGAACTACTCTTCGTGAAGTGATTTTTGTACTACATGGTACAGAGGTGTTTTTTTTTTTAAATTTTTAGTTTGTTTTTAAAATGAACTTTCCTGCCAAAATAAAAAGTAGGTAGAAACAACCTGATTGAAAAGTGGGCAGAGGATCTGAATAGACATCTTTCCAAAGAAGACATACAGATAACTAACAGGTACATGAAAAAATGTTCAACATCACTAATTGTTTGAGAAATATAAAACTACAACGACGTATCACCTTCCACCTTTTAGAATGGCTGTTATCAAAAAGACAATTAAATAATAAGTGCTGGGGAGGATGTGGAGGAAAGGGAGCCCTTGTATATTGTTGGTAAGATTGTAAATTGGTACAACCACTATGGAAAACAGTATAGAACTTCTTCATAAGATTAAGAATAGAACTGCCTTATGACCCAGCAATTCCACTTCTGGGAACTTACCCAAAGAATATGGAAACACTAATTCAAAAAGATATATGCACCCCTCTATTATTGCAACATTATTTGCAATAGCCAAGATATGGAAGCAACCCAAGTGCCCATCGATAGATGAATGGAAAAAGATGTGGCCTTTATACCCAATGGGATGTTACTCAGCAATAAAAAACAGTGATGTCTTGCCACTTGGGACAACATGAATGGACCTAGAATATATTATGCTAAGTGATATAAGTTAGAAGGAGAAAGACAAATACCATGTGAGTTCACTTATATGTGGAATCTAAAAAACAAATAGAATGCATAAACAAACAAAACCAAAACAAACTCATAAATACAGAGAACAAATTGGTGGTTACCAGATGGAAATGGCATGGGGGATGGGTGAGAGGAGGGAAGGAAGGTCAATTATATGGTCATAGATGGTAACTAGACTTTCTAGGGATGGTCCCTCTGTAGTGTAGGTGGTCCTACATCTGTATGTAGTGTGCATACAGATGTCATGTACACCTGAAACTTATAATAAAAATAACTTTAAAAGAAAGAAAAATATGGTACACACACTTCCCATTTTTTTACATGTTGACAGTACAGGAAATATAAAAATTGGGAAATCACTGATATAGTATAGGTTAGTTTTATGTGTTTAATGAAGTACACTGATAGAAAAGTCCTCCCAGTGTCTGTGTGGGTGAAGAATGTTCCTTCCTGCTTGCTTCTGGTTAGGATGAGAGCTTCCTGGACAGTGTTCCAACTGTAGGGGATCTGGACAGAACTTAGGGGTCCTGAGCTGATTATGCCCCCAGAGGAAGCAGCTCTGTGATCTGAGCTCACCTGCCAGGGCTTGGGTCCAAAACAAACTCACCCATTTGCTGGGTTTTTTTTTAAGCATTCCTTTCTGAGGAAAAGAAAATCAAAAGGTGCTTGGCTTTCCTGTTTTTTTCTTCTTTGCTCTCATACACACATGCACACATATGTACACACACATTCATACTTTGTTGAGGGGAAGGAGAGGCTCCCTGGATCCTGTGGCTTTGCTCTCAGTTCAGCTGGCTGGGGGTAAGCCCAGCTGCCATTCAGGGTGCTTGGGTGGATCTCTGGGCTTTTGCTCACGCAAGCAGAGTCCTCAACAGGACAGGAATGTCTCATTTCCCACAATGGGGATCAGAGCAACCAAGCATTGCAGTCTTGGGGTATGAAGAAATTGTTCAGCCTCAACAAATCAACATTGTGTGCTGTGGCTTTGCCAGATACATCTGCCATCCTTCCTGTGGGCTCTCTGAAGGTCAGAAAAACTTAGTTGGTCCTAGTTCTTGGCCTGTGGGCAGAGAGAGGGAGGAGTTGGGCATGTGCTGGTCCACAGGGAGGCCCAGCACAAACTGAGGAAGAAGAGGAAGGGTCACAGACAGTGGCAGCTGCCAGTGGTTTGCTGAGCCCCATGAGGCCATCTCTTGGCTAAAGTGCCCATCTGCCTGGCTCAGGGTATTCCCTCAGGGCTGTCAGCAGCAGCAATCATTATTGGGTGAGTTTGTGACACATGTGTAGGCTGTCCTTTCCTTCTGGGTTAGCACGGTTGGCTTTCCTAGGACAGAACAGCTCCCATGTCTTTGTGTAGAAGTAAAGGTACAAAGTGAAGAGCAGGAATAGGGAACCTGTGTTTATTGAAACAGCTTGTGGTGGGATGGTACTTCACATTGTGCTTCTGCTTCACACTAGAGGGTTGAGCAATGTCAGGACCAAAGTTGCGGGTATTTCCCACTGTGGAGGAGGGAGTTTAATGACCAGGGCTTGGGCTTATGTCATTAGCTTCCCTGGAAATAACCCCCCTTCTCCCTGCAGCACACCAAAGCAGGAGTGAGCACGCCTGCCTCCTGGCTCTTCTTGGAAAAGGCATTTCTAGGAATGCCTGCCTGGCTTGGCCTTATGCCTAATGTGGTCATGAGCGAGTTTCATGGCAGGGCTGTGAGGAGGCCCTTCATTGGCGTCACTGTACTCCTGGGCCAGGGCTGTGAGCAGCCCCCTTATAGGTGCTCTGGGGCTCTGCACTGGTGCACAGGAGCCGTCCATAGGTATACCCTGCACTTAACACTTGATGCAGACAGAGCTGAAAGAATAAAGGTCTGGCGGGGCGGAAGAGGGGCACGTCCTTGGCTCCTCAGATCCTTCACACACTTCCTCTGGGCTCTGGCAAGTTTGGACGTTGCCCTACTGACCACACCTATGCCCCCCACTCTTATTCTGAGATGTGGCAAGGCCGACTCTTGAACCCAGGTTTACCCAACAATATTTAAGACGTAGGTTCCTTCATGCATGTGGTTTGGAACATGCAGGTGTAAAAGCCAGATTTAAGAAAGTGTTCTTATTCTGAAGTTTCAATAAAAGGGTTCATCTGTCATCTATTCAAGATCTTGATGACCACCACAACAGCACTTACATCACTGGCGGCCTTCACAGTGTTCTGAAGCCACTCCTAAGCCAGAAGACCTGGCTCAGTGTTTTTAAAACTGTTTAAATAGTTACTGATACTTAGGAAGATTGTATTTGGCTATTAAGTAACAGCTTAAGAATAACTGATTGACAGTGTTTTAAGTTATAAAGACATTTAATTACTTAACTCCCTTGACCAAGAAGCTTGAAGGTGGGGCTCACAGGCCTGGGCAGCAGCTTCCTGATGTCCCCCTTTCCATCCTGCTGCCCTTTCACCTCTGGGGCCTGTCACCTTTGGTTACAGGTATCTTATGGAGCTCTAAGCATGGTGCTCACTTCCAGTGCCCTGGCAGGAAGCCTGGGGCAGAGACAGATAATTTTCCTTTCATCAGGAGGGAAAACGTTCCCAGAATTCCCCACCACAAGCTTTTCCTTTACTTCTCTGTAGCTAGAGCTGGAGGGAAGATGGGGTATTCTGAGGTACTGGGCACTTTGCTGCCCCAAATAAAATAGTGCAATCTGAAGATGCTCTGCCACAGTTCTAATACTTCAAAACCTGAAGAGTTCATTGCCAACTTCTGATTACTGGTTTTCCTTGAGAGATGGGAAACTGAACCTTGCTGCTGCACACTGGCTTTGGGCTGGGCTTCTGCTGGTCTCATCACCCCCAGCGCCCACCCCTCCATGCAGCTTCGCTGCTCCACACCCTGCTCTGAGGACTCTTAATACTAACACTTCAGATTTCAGGATTATAACGGGAACCTTTTCTTGCGTGCTCAATAGCAAACCAGTCTTTGGGAGTAGAGTTATAAATTTATATCTGGGAGCATTTTTCCCTGGGAAGTGTAATAAAAGCATATCTTGCAATGCTCTGGTAGTGAGAAATCTCAGGTGAGCTACCCGAGTCCTTGGATAGTACCTGAGGACTTCCCACGCATGGCAACATTGTGCCTTGTTTGGTTATAGAATGTGTGTGCCTACATACATTTTTATAGTTCCCCTATTGTCTTCCTGTCCTTTTTCATCTGTGCATCTACACTTAGTTTGCTACCTTTCCCTTGCGTTCAGTACCTGGCTGAATTTATTAAGTGTAATGAGAAAATACGCTTATATTTCCCTTTCTTATTAAGTTCATTTGCCCTCTCATCCTTCATGAGACAGAGAACCTAGTTCGTGTGGTTGGAAACTACATCGTCTTCATCCCTGGTAATCAGTGCTTACAGGGACATGAACTTAGTCCATGGGCAACTTTAGATGTTTTGCTGCTTTAAAAGCCATTCAAGGTAGAGGACACTGAAAAGCACTTAACTCTGTAGGTCCCTTCTTAATAAATGTACTTAACCCACTAACTAGTCCAAACCCTGAATGAAGCTGGTGCACACAAGTGAACGAATGAGTGGCAGGAGGAAGGGTAGTAGCAAAGCTAAGGGGCAGAAGTAAGTATCCTTGTTTTATTGTTGTGGAGAACTTCAGTCTCTAAAAGAATACTGGCATGGAAAATGTTATTCCCACTTTACAGCTGAGGTTAAAAGAAGCCAAGTGACTTTGCCAAGGTCACACAGCCACTAAACTGTTGAGAAGATATTGGAACTGAAATTGCATTTCCACACAGCTCTTCTATTGCACACAGATAGGACCTACCAAAGTTGAGGGAGGCCAACATGGGAGAATATTATAAGGTTTTTCAGATTGTCAGAAATAAACTAGCTTTTAGGACCTGGGTGGGCCTACATGATGTGGGCACCTCCCTCACGAAAATGGCTGTGGGGTAACCAGGGTGCAGCTGTGCAGAAATCACCCCACCATGGCCACCAGTCAGTGACAACTATGTGTTTTAGGCATTCCTTGCAGAGAAATTCTGACAAGCCCAGAAGCCAAGAGCCTTCCCCAGGCCTGAGCATGGTGTGTGATGGATTCTAACGCTGAGGCAGCTCCTGACCCAGACAGTATGATCTGTGGGAAGCTGTGGGGCCCTGGGACCTTTCTAACAAACCTCAGGCAGATTTTTCTTTTCATCATGTGTTGAGTAGACAGATGTCACTTCTCTCTTTTTTTCTTCCCTCAGGACAAGACATTTCAAAGAAAGTATTAAATTCATTCACGAGTGCCGGCTCAGGGGAGAAGGCTGTCTTGTGCACTGGTATGTATGCCTCCTGCCTAATCTCAGCTTAACATGCTCCACACAGCTTGAGTTCTCATCCAGTGTCTTTTTGTGTGTGATTAAACTATTTCATCTCCCAATAGTTTTCCCTGCCCTATAAGTCTCAAACATATGTCCCACCTGACCCCAACTGCTTGATAGACACTGTTTGCTTTTGTTGCAAGAGAACCCAAAATTTCATTCTAACTTGGGATTTTTATCTTCATGGCTAGGATTTCTGTAGGGACTATCAAAGTTCCTGGACAACAGAAACTCCTGTTTTAGCCTACCTCTCATATTTCATCAGAACAGCCTCCTACAAAGGGTACATATTTGTAGGCTTATTCCTGAAATTTCAGTGTCATTTCAAGACTGTTTCTTTCTGAAGGGTTTTGATTGCATATGTGGATGCTGAACACTGCATTACTATAACACCAGAATGACTTTTTCTTCTCCATTTATAGATTGGGGTTTTTTATGTGTGTTTGGCTTACTACTTTGCTTTGAAAGGATCTGAGGAGACTCTTAAAATTAAACATTTTATATACAGCTATCCACCTGTGGGTATATGCATATACATAGGTGCATATACACACTGTGCAAAGAAAGGTGTTATAACACACATAACACAAGGACAGCACACACAGCACTCTTAGCACTGCACATGGCGCATAGAGTGGCTCATAGCATAGTAAGCTCTCGGTCAGTGTCAGTCCTTGTTTATATTACCTCTCATATCCACTCTAATAACGTAACTGACCCATGTAGAGAACCAGCCACCAGCATTCTAGAGCCAGAGCTCTGCTGTCAAAGTGCAGACTGAACATGTGCCCTCTCTGTCTTGAATGAGGCTTGATATTAATTAGCAATCTCTTGAGTTCCCACAGAGAGGTTGCTATTGGAAATACAAAGTGGTATCTTCAGGTTGTTGGCAGTCTTGCGGGGGGCGGAGCAGGTAGGGACCTATCACATAATGTCCATAGGAGTCACTCCGGGCAGTCGGGGAAGCAGGGATGCTAGATGGTTTGATTGCTGCAAAATGGGTGTTCTGCAGTTTTATAAAGTTCTTGAAATAATCTAATTGTTTATTTTACTTTTAAGAAGAGTAGGCATGTTATAACACCATTTATGTTTGCTCTAAAGCACTTGAGAGGTTTATAGTTGGGGCCATTTAATGAGAGTGTTGAACTCCTGTGCCAGGGTTTCTAGGGCTCCTGGGGAATGACAGCCTCCTCAAATCAAGAGGTGTTTTTTGAAAGCTCTCATTTTTTCTAATATAAGCCTTGGGAAAGAGCCACTACTTGAAAGTAGTTATTAGTATTATTATTACATTATTTTGTTTTTTTGATATTTAACTATGTGTAGGTCTGATGTTCTAGGAAATTGTGTTTCATACAGTTGTGACAATCTTAAGATAGGCTTTTCTCAAAATGAGAAATTTGCCAAACTTCCCCATCTTAAACCGTTGCAAGAACACTCTAAGTCTGATGCAGCACAACCTTTCTATGACTACCTTAATTTGCATATGCATTTAAAATTGGTCCCCTTACTCAGCCTGCTAGAGATATTTAACTGTATTGCCTACGGAGTGTACACCTTGCCTCTGAGAGCACATGTGCAGTGTGTCCTCTGTGGTGCTCTGCATAGTTATTTGAGGAAGAACACAATTTAGTGTGGCTTCTGTGTATAACAGGACTTGTAAGTTACAGATTTAGCTCTCATGTATCTAAGAAAGCAGGATTTAAAAAAAAAAAAAAAACGAGTAAAGCCTTCTAAACTGCTGCACGTTATAAATTCATTTTTTGCACAGATGCCAGACCCCTTAAGTTCCTTTGATGTGCTTTAGTTATTTTATCTGCCTGGGAAAATGGGAACTATGTGAAGAGGGGCTCAGGAGTGATAATCATAACACTGAAGTGTCTGGAGCTATAGCCGCCAGAAAATCTATAAAAAGTGAAGCTAACACAGATAAAGAATGCTTGAGATTCTAGTGTAATAAAGAGACATTTGTATGTTTCTGAGTAATTTCCAAGTAATATACTGGCTTGCTGTCCACTCATAATCCAAAGCAGGAAAACTTCCTAAAATGAGGTCCACAGAATCACTTGCTCCAAATGGATCAAAAGCTAGACTTGTGGACCCTAAACCTTCTTTTCCCATGTGGCGTTCTCTTGGACCTACAGCCTGGCTGGTGTCTCCAGGAGCGTGACTCTGGTGACCGCATACATCATGACCGTCACTGACTTTGGCTGGGAAGACGCCCTGCACACTGTGCGTGCCGGGAGGTCTTGTGCCAATCCAAACCTGGGCTTCCAGAGGCAGCTACAGGAGTTTGAGAAGCATGAAGTCCATAAGGTAACCATGCTCAGGGGACTTTGGTGATGTAGGCAGCAGACCCTGGGAAGATGCCTAAATCTTTCTGTACACTCCTAGAAGCATGGAGGTTGAAGTCAGAGAGGCCCCAGAGGACATCTGGTCCAAGGACACCTCACACATTGAAGCCCTCACTGGTCCCTGTGCACCAGCTGCAGCCACAGGACATTACCTTTTACCATCTTCCTAGGCCCCATGATAGCTGCGTTTCTCTACCTCTGGGGCAAGTGCCGCTTTCTTGGTTTGGCTTGCTTTCATCTCTCAGGCTAAAACCTTGAAGAAGCAGTGATTTCCCCCCCCTTCATACTACCTAGCCAACCACAGAGCTGTGGTTGCCCAATGCCCATTTATTTCCCAGCTTATACATGGCAAAACTTGTACCATTTGTACCAATACCTAAGTCTACATAGATGCAGTTGAGTGTGTGACGTTTTGGTTTTCTTTTCAATTTCTTCAGTACCGGCAGTGGCTGAAGGAAGAATATGGAGAGAACCCTTTGAGGGATGCGGAAGAAGCCAGAAACATTCTGGGTAAATATAAAGAGCAAGGGCGCACGGAGGCCCCGCCTGGCACGTGGAGGGGGACCAGCTTGCAGGCCCTGCCTCCTATGGCCTACAGCAACTATACTGCGGAAACCTAACACTGCGACCTGGTGCCTGCCTTGCTGCCAGGTACCCTGGTGTGCTGGTGGCCACCTTGCCTTGGAGGACAGGAAGGGAGGGTGGCGAAGATGGTGGATCCAGACTCCTTCCCAGGACCTCCCCCGAGCCCTGCCTCAGGCCCCTCCACTCTGCCCACTCCTCTCCCCACAAAACTTGATGCACTGTCTGGAGGCTGCCCTGCTTCGCACACTTTTGCACACCTGTGTGTGTGTGCATTATGTGTGAATGTGTCAGTGTATGGGTGAGTGTGAACAGTGCTGGAACAGTCATAAAATCCACACTGCCAGGATTGGTACTGCCACCCTTCCCTTTGTCCAAGACTCCAAACAGAAGGCTTTAAAGTCGACATCTGAAATGCTGCTCAGCCAGAAGCAGTCCATGCCTGTGAACACACAGTAAGAACTACACCCAAGCTGCTGAGAGCAGCAGCCTCCCCAGAACCAGGAGCAGTCCCTGCAGGGCAGCAGGCAGCGAGACTCCCTGCCCCCGCCCCGGGGCGGGGGTTGGGGGGGTGGTTCCCAGGGCCTTGAGGGGATGGCAGCCAATGCTTTGAGCATTGCCTAGACCTTAAGGAAAGTACCCCAGGTCTTGGCTCCCTGTTGCCTGAATTCAAGGCCCGCTTTTCACCCTATTAGGTCCCCAAGTTCTACTTGGTGTTTGTTCACTATGACACCGACTGCATTTTAGATCCATGGGGAGCACTACCAATTCAGCCAAAGCTGTGTGCCCTGAGTGCCCTTCTTCCCCTCCCCAGTCCTGTACAACCTCACTCCCAACCTCTTGCTGTTTTCACTCTGCAAGGGACCTCTTCAGAGGGTTTGCATGCACTGTTAGGTATTGAAAAGAAAAAGCATTTATTAGGCATTGTAGCAGTTTGCATTTTGAAATACATTATAAAATGCCTGAGTACTTATTAGGCACCTTCTTGTATGCTGTGGATATGATGTTTGATCTTAGCTACCTCATTAAATGTTTTTTGAAAAGATGTTTTTCATTATTCCAATCAACTCTGCCTCAGAGTTGAAAATGTTCAGTCATGATTACTTTTGAAGCCAAAGGGGAAAAGCATTCAGTGGTGTTGAGCTATTTAAAGTTTCTGATTTGGGCTCCAATAATGCTTTCTAGTGGGTAAAATTCCACATTCAGGCCAAGGTCAGCAGGCTGAAGAGCAGCTGCAGTTTGCAGTTTGGGGCAGTAGGCACCCTGGTGTGCTGTGAGAAGTTCTGTGCTGCATCCCTTTATACCCACTCAGATGCTTCAAGCAGGCAGAGACACAGAATGAAAAAATACCCTCGCCCTCTCCCAAAAAAATGTTGCAGCCTATTTCTCTGATTCCACCACAAAAAGAGCCCCTGAATAAGAAAAGCAGTTGCCCCCTGCATTTTGGAGGGTGTGTCACAGGTGAGCTGTTGTGGGACAAGGAGAATGAAGTCACCTGACCCTACACACTCCTATGGAAAGGGAAACATGGCCACAGAATTATTCATATGCTGATGAAACAATTTGCCTGTAAAGTAGATTTTTTTTTCCCTTAAACCAAAAAGAAATGTAAATATGTTAACTGGAGAAGTATTTCGGATATCAGCTTGAATGCTTAAATGTGTGTACACTTATGAACATCTAAATATATTCCTGTAGATCTTGAAATGTTGTTTTAATATTTGTTGCCAGTAATGTTCTTTCTCCACAGCCACACCCGGAATTCTGAAGTACTGGGCCTTTCTCAGAAGACTGTAATGCACCTGAAGTTTCTGAAATATTGCAGAGCCACAGAGTTTAGTCTGGTGCTGCCAAAAAAGAAAAGCAACCTAGAGTTTATTTTTTAAGTATCCAGAAGTAATTTGTAAACTTGTTTTTTATTTTAACTGAATACATATGTAATCGTGTTATATATTAAGAACTAAGGATACTCTTTAGCGAGAGAATATATTTTTACCTTAATTTCACTGCTGTGACTATTTCTTTAATCTTAACTTTGATTCCTGTAAAGCAGTCTCAGCACCTGCTGCCATGTTTCTATTACTGTTAGTAACCCTGTTTCTCATGACAGCGGTTGTGCTGTTCTTCAGTTTCCCAGCTGAGGGTATCTCTTGGTGTGTTTTATCCATGGTTTGTGTTCTCAATGGTGGCATTTACCAACAGCTACACAATTTTGTTAATAAAAGGCAACTTAGCCACATTTACCTCCCCGTGCAGTGCATTCTTGCTTAGCTGAGGCATGAACGTCGCCTGTGTTTTTGCCTGTGAGGGTCATGAAGAAGGTTTGGTGGGGAGCCTGCTCCCCTAACAGTGATGCTCTTTTCCCCCAAGATCTAGTATATCAGACACTAGGAAAGTGAATTAATGTCTCCATAAGAAAAAAACTGCCCCTCACTGTGAGCAGAAAGAATTATGGATATTAGAGTTGTGTGTTCGTGCACAGTATGGGAACTGAATGCCTGCACCCCTGGAATGACTGCGTTCCACAGGGAAGCGCCCAGGCACTCAGGAGCATTTGCTGCATGTTGTTGAATGCAGGTTTTCTGATTCCATATTCAGCTTTTCATTAGAAAAAAACAGACTGGCTCAAAGAGTAACTTATATGGACTTTCTAAATTTTCCTTATCTAAATCTGGGGTAGGAGGTAGAGTTGAAGGGGAAATTTAACTTTTTCCTTCAAGGATAGGTGTAGCTTGAACTGAAGGCAGGTATATATACATGGGTCCTTTAACTGTAGGTGGCAGACTTGCCATATGTTCTAAGTTTCTGTTTCTAATGCCTGGAAGCCCCTGACAGGGGGCTCTAGCCAGAGCTGGGAACTGTGTTGGGGTATTCTGGCAGCAGCCCCTGGTGGGTGAGATAATATGGCACTGATCAGTTTGGGACATTAAAATGTTTATTCCAACTCATCAGGCTTACCTGGGTATAGCACAGGTACCTCTGAGCATTCCCATGTGCCAAACCTAGAAGCCCAAGATGTTTCTGTTAAGATAGTATTGACCATGTTTAGATGTTAGAGGCAGAGAGGCCCCTTCTCTGTCCATGACCAGGCCAGGTTTTGGGGTCACACTTAGGAGGAGGCTCATGCATCTTCCTACACTGTGATAGTGGTGTGTAGGCTCTACAACGTCAAGGTTAGATTCACAGGGACTGCTGGACCTCTAAGAGGCCTCATCCCTGCATGTGACTGAGCTTTGTGTTCAGGTGTTCAAGCATGTCCGTGCATCCAAAACAGACTCCCAGAAACCAGGCTTGTGACAATTAATGTAGAAGTCAAATGTCCAGTTTCTTAATTTATCATAAAAGATAGGACATTAGCTTTATGAAGACTAATTTTATCCCCTAGCCAGGCCATCTCTCATTATCAAGATTTCTGAAAATCAACATATCGTATACCTTAAACTTACACACTGTTACATGTCAATTATACCTGAATAAATCTGAAATTAAAGGAGTTAAATATATTAGGAGGCATAAAGAAAGATTTTTAGAAGACCAAATCAGTCATGAGGCATTGTCCTATGAGCCTGGGCAAGGAGCTGAGAGCCTAGGGCAGGGGTGTGTCCCGACCTAGCGTGTCCCTTGATCACAGTACAGTTGCTAAAGCACCTCTACCATCCTCCAGTCTCTCCCTAGGCTGAGCAGGGCTTCTGCTCACTCCCTGAGGTTGCCTTTCCTGGTTGCCAGGTAGACCACCCTGTTTATGTCCTCTCTTTACCCAGGGTGACTCTTTGACTTAAGTCATGTTTTTCAGAGCACCTTAGTTAACCTTGAGTGTCTTCACATGTTCCTGACAGCATTTCTGCTCTTCCATGAGGATGGCTTCCCACTGGTGGCTTTTGTAATTTCTTGGTTTCTGGTTCTTTTTAGATTCTGTCTCATCAGGGAACTCCTCTTTCAGCTTCTGAAGCTATTTCATGTGACTCACACATAGAGACAACCTATAAATTTGAGTGTGCATGTGTGTGTGTGCATACACACAGCTGTGTTTATTGTTTATAAATTTATTTTTACAAATTCTTAACCTTCAAGGGAATCATGTGTGCAGCATCAAGGAGCATGTTGAGCTCAGGTACCTGGGCACTCAGGGAAACATCAGAGCTCGTGTTGCACAACCAGCATTGGTCATGAAAGCTGCTCTGCAAACCAGCATCTAGTCATAAAAATAGGGAACACACGCTCAAAACCCTGTGATCCTACACTAGATGACTCCTCCCATCCTGACTTTGAGTTATTAATAATTTTATTAAGAATGTGCTTTCAACATGCGTATATTTATATATGTACTTAACAAGAAATCACCAAGACTTCAGAGGGAAGTTCCTCTTCCCTTTCCTTTTTATTGCCCAGAGAAAGGGAGAAACTTGAGAAGAAGAAAAAAAAAAGAAAGAAAGAAAAACTGCCTTAGACTTGTCGCTGGAGGCTTAAGCATGTCCATCACTTCTCTCCCAGGCCTGAGACTCACTGGGACTGTCAAATACTTGGAGTCATGTAACACACTAGCTGTGTTTCATCATGCAGAGAGGTCTTGACACTTGGCTCTCTTATTTTCCTACTCACACTAGAGATTTTGAGACCTGTGACTATAATAACTGGTCACAATTATTGCTGCTAGTATCAAAATTAGTGTTCTGTTTTGCAGCTTAGCCTTAACCACTTTACTAAACCTCTGACTGAAGGTTGCAAGTGTCTCTTTCCATCAGGGGGAAAGAATTACCAGTACATATTTGAACATCTGCAAGGTTGGGTTTATTTTGGCTGCAGATCTCTATGCAAACTGTTGATCAGGAGGAGTTAGTAGTTCCTGAAGTCTCTAGTTCAGTTCATTCGAGTCAGTGTTAAAAGAGCTATTTTAACAGGTGACTGAAAGTACTTGGCAGCTCAGTATTCTAATTGAGCACACAGTTGACTTTGGTAGGTTTAGTAAAAGAGACTTTTTGGATGGGATCCTTTGTACAAAGCCCTGTTTAAGAAAACTAGATGGGAGTGGGAGGAGGGATTGATTTTTTATGATTAACAATTCCTTCTAGGAATGATGTAGTTTGAGACAGATTTGGGAAACAGTGCTTATCACACCATTTGCCCAGCTTGACCCAAGGAGACCATGTCAGCTTACCGTGGCCTTCCCACTTAGCTGCTCAGTTCTCCAGGACACATATTAATAACAAGTGACACATATTAAAGGAACATCGCCATCAACATGGTGTTTGCCCGCCCTTTCCCTAAATGTTCACTAGTCGTCGGTTGCCTTCCCTTTGGCCTCATGGAGCTGCCCCCAGAAGTGGTTGGACTAGCACAAACAGGAACCGCACTTTCTGGTGAGCAGGTTTGCCTTTTGTCGGTCAGCTCTGGGTTTCCCCAAGGCACTGATGGGGAGCCTTTTTGGAAAATAAAAAAGCAAAAGGCCCCTACATGTGCACCGGAGAAATGTCACCTTCTGCTTTGCAAAGGGTGTGCCCATGATGGCAAGAAGCCCAAGTGGTACAGAGCTTCCTCAGAATGGGAGTCCCTAGAGAGGCTTGTCATGTGCCAGAGGTCAGATGTTCCAATTCTGCTTGGTTTGTGTTAAGCCACACAGATGTGGTGGCAGAGGGAAAGGGAAGAAGGTGTGACAGGAGAGAAGCATTGCTTGAGTGTCTACAGCAGCTTTCAGGACTCTCCAAAAATGAGGTGCCTCCGAGCTCCATGTGGCAGGGGTTGGCTGAAACCCACTTCATGCCCAATATTCACTGGCTTACAGCAGAGGGGCCCATTCTCTGCTTTGCCTGAGCCCCTTCCTGTCACCCTCCACTTCCTGGGAGTACGAAGGTGCAGGTCCTGACGGAGCAGATTGAGGGGAAAGGCTCATGCTTGACAAATGAGAGGCTGAGTTCTTGAACCAGTGACCAGGCAGGCCAGGCTAAGGTTCAGTTTGATTCCAGTTCTCTGGAATACCTTGGGGAAGTCCCAGAGGAGGCAACCCACACATGTGGGGAACTTCTTCCCCAGGCTGGCATGAAAGAAACTCCCTAGAAGGAATGAGCAGTCCTGGATGGCACCCTGTTTAGTGGCCCAGTCAGAGCCAGCCTCCCTGACAGTCTTCCTGGGTGGCAGTTTATGTGTCTAGGAACAAAACAATCAACCTTGTGATGGTCAGCCATCATTGAGCACTCAGCGTGCGACAGGAGCTGGCATTGAGACTTTCTTGAAATCATGTCCTCATGGCAATGTTATGTGATAAGTTTTACTATTACCCCATTTTTCATGTTATTGACAACTTGAGTATTACTCAGTCTCAGGGCTAGAAAGTGGCCAAATGAGGGTTGGAATCCAAGCAGTGTGACTCAGGTGTGCCTATAAGTTACCACTCCTTTTGAAATGCCGGTACTACTGGGAAGGCTAAACTAATGAAATGCTAACAATCGTGGACATTCATGTCAAAGTTATTTTCTGAAGATGGCTTTGCATTAGATGAGAGGCCTCATGCGGAGATTAAGGTAGAAGAGAGGTAATAGCACAAGGGAAAGTCAGTTCTCTCTTTTTTCCACCAAAGCCTGCCCATGTGTGGACACTATAACTGCCATACATACCTCCAACTGGGCATTTCCAATTTAGCCTGGAAGAACAGAGAGAGTCCTGGGATGTCCTGGGGCCCCGGGAGGCCCTTTGCAGGAATCCACAATGTCTTGTGTGTTTAGAATGGGGGATCAGTGCCTGACACCCTAAGCAGATGGTGTTCTGTCCTTGATGTGCCAATCCTATTGAGATTGAGGAACTCTGATGTCTGGTGAGGTTTTTTGCAAAAAGCTCAGGGGTTTGCTGTCATTGAACTCAAATAACTCAAATGGAGACATTCATCAAAAACAAAGGCAAGGGAAGCAGCAGTGGACACTGAAGCAACCAGAGACTTGTAGTACCTCCTTCCAACTTTTCGGACTAAGGAGATGGCATTTCTAGAACCCAGTAAGAACAAGAATATGCAAGGGTGAATCAAGAAGCGTTGGAGAGGCCAGGGGGTAGTATGGTACAAGTGACTCATTCCATATCCTCCTGTCCTGTCTCCCCTAACCAGCTGGAAAACTGGCCAGCAGGGGAGCCTGCAGGATGTGGCCCATGGGGGACAGAGCAGGGGAGGTGGTTACAACAGGCAGCCCTGGCCCTCAGCCATGGGTGTGGCAGACTTAGTGATAGGATGGAGGAAGTGCTACCAGCTTCCAAGTATCTA